GCCACCCGGGCAAAATTCAAAATTTCCTACCAACTGAAAATATTAGGTGTGTCCCGCACGCTCATATGACCTTATGCAGTTGCGTCGCCGTAAAACACTTTACAAAAACAAAAAAAACATCACTGGACTTGCGTTGTATTTATCGGAAAAAAGACGAGAGAGTTCGGAGACCATAGCGAACTGTAGTACTTAGAGCTGGCTGTGTTGGAGACACGAGTGTGGTCCAGAAACGACATGATCGTCTTGAGCTAGACCTACATCGTAGACAGCAACAAGATTGAAAGGAACATCTAAAATAAAACTTCATAACTAGTTTTTGAGAACCGCAAATGTTGCTTTATTTAGTTTCATTTTATTTATTCATCTAAAAAATAAATAAAAATTAGTGTCTCTTTGACTTAAGTAAGTTTGGTCAACGGACTTTTAAAAAACCAATCGACGACATTTCGTACCTTAGAAAGGGTGCATGAAACAAAAAACAAAAAACAAAAACAAAACAAAAACAGAAAAAACAACCCCATATAATACTCCCCCAAAAGCAAACAAACAGACAAACAAACAAACAAACAAACAAGAGGACAAAATGAACCGTGTTTGTTCATCCCAGATGGACGTGATAACTTACCGCACCCTCCTGGTGATGCTGACGGTGAAGGGTGTGACAGACTCCTTCCACTCGGCCGCCCTCCCCTCTGTCTACATTGACGACAACGTCTTGGATAAGTCTAGGGTCAGCATCTTTATCGGTGAGTTTTTACTAAAGGTTTTACGGCGCTCTCAACTGCATAATGTCATCAATGAGTGTTTTCGCAGGGGCCGTGGTTCACTTTCACGACTCTCTCAGTGCTTTTATTGTTTCTAGAAGTCTCATTCCAACATCAGACTGGCCTGGATGTAGACAAACAGACAGACAGACAGACAGACAGACAGACAGACAGACAGACAGACAGACAGACAGACAGACAGACAGACAGACAGACTACAGACAGACAGACAGACAGACAGACAGACAGACAGACAGACGACAGACAGACAGACAGACTACAGACAGACAGACAGCTTGTTAATTCCTTATTTCCGTCAATCCTCCTTTCTTTGAATGTATACAGCTCTCTTTCAGTCGGTTTTTCCATTCTTTGTTTTCCTTGCTATAATTTTCTTTTCTATGCACTGCCCCCC